CTATAAAAAGTTAACCCTTTGTCTTATGTCATAGAGACCCTTTTTTAATAAACTCTCAAACCTGAAGTTTACACTCTTCAGTGAAATCCAATAATTTTGTGGCTTTAAAAGCAACAGTTAAAGCATGGTGTAACTATAAACAAATTACAATGGTTTAACTAAATGAAAAAACAAAACTAAAAGAACAACAAAAAGTCTCTATTTGGGATAAATTTCGATCAATCAAGTAAAATAATCCCATGTGATACTGTTTTAATTATGAGGCATGGACTGTGTACACTTGAGAAAAGAATGAACCTGCCAGCCAGATAAACAATTTCTGAAAAACAACATGCCAGAAAATTTACATTCTAGTGATTGAGACGCTCATTACAGTGCTAAAATGTCATGTTTTTAAAATTTCTGATATGAAAGTAGAGATTTTAATCATGACATGATTAAAAGAGGATTTAATAAAAGCTCACCTTCTGTAATGAATTTTATTTTTTTAAGTATTCTCCATCATCAAATAATACGGGTTTTAGAAAAATAAATAGGGTTTAAAGGTTTTCATTTATATGAAATAATCAAGGGATTATAGGCAAAATTTTTAAAAATTTAATCTTTATCTCACCTTCAAGACTTCAGGTCTCCAAGGACTTTATATACTGTGTTATCGATGAGTTCTTTCTAGCTCACTCCCCACTAATACTTCAAGCCTCGACTGGGGAAGGACTACCAATAAAAACTTTTTCTCTGTTTCTTACCTTTTGATGTCCTCTTTTCCTCTTAAAATTCTTGGTCTCCTTTCAACTTGTTTGTCCCTCACTTGCCTCTCTTGGCAAAACCACAGCCCTGGTTAATAGAAACTTCATGTACACCCATGGTGAGATTCAATATGACTGGAATAATCTCACTTTTCCATTGCGAAGGCAAAATACTTGATATTCGCAATTAAAAGAGAAAAGTTTTATTCTGGCTTCTGGTTTCGAAGGTTCAGTCCATGGCTAGCTGATTACAAAGCAGAAATAGGTTGATAGAAAACCCAGTGGGAAAGCTGCTCAGCTCAAGGCAGCCAGGAACCAGATGGCTGTAAAGACCGGGAGAGGGGAAGAGGCCAGGGACAATGTCACATACTCATGGCTCACCCAGATTGACCCAGAACTGTCTCTCAAGCCAGTCAAACTGATGAGCAAGGTGAACTGTCACACTCATTTTATGACCATAGTCTGACAGCCATAACATACTCTTCAATTCTCCATTTGTTCTGGATAACTTTCTCCTTCCCAAATTTGAAATACTTCCATCCCTAAACATATAGATGATTTTGCTTCTTACTCCACTGAGAATCAAATAGTCAGCAGGGAGCCCTCACAGTCCTCACAACCACATCTGTGCGTCTGCAAGCAGGTGCACAGATTACCCACTTGGCGATCTAGATAACCGTTCCTCTCACGGGTCCAGGTAATCCCACCCCTCTCGCCTTGCAGCTATTTTCTCTTCTCGTCCATATCACAAAATTCTCACTGCAGCAGGACGTGCATGTCTGCCTTAGAAACATGCTCACACTTCTCCTTCTGGTAAGACAGGAGCTCTTCAGTCCGTTGCTCTAACAGCTGACTCTCAAAGCCACTTCTTAGTTATCTTTGTGGAAAATTTTTGTTAAAGGAAAACCTATACTCGCCGCATCCAAATCCTTTTGTTCTTCCTCCCCACTACTCATCTGAAATGTTTGTATCATTATCACCAGCAGCATCCACACTGAGAGTCCAAAAGTGAGTCCTCATCTTATTCAGCTAAGCTGCAGCCCTGAAAGCACCTTTTCCTCCTCTGCTTCACTCTCCACTTCTGTGGAGCAGCACAGTAGCTGTCATCCTGGCTGATCCCTCTCATCTCCACAGTCCTCTTCGTAAACTCTGTGCTGCAGGGCCCCAGAGACAGAACTGCTCACCTCCTTCTGACCTCACATGGCTTTAAAACCCCCATATGCCAGAGATAAAGTTGTTTTTCTAGTTCTACATCTTGCCTCAACTCCAATGAGTGTATTTCATCTGAAGGTAAGACAGATCTCTCTAGTTAGCAGATTTACAACTGAATTCTATAATTTTCCTGCCCAAAGTTGGATGCTGTCTCAATTGATAAAAACTACATTTGTAGCTGCTCAGGCTAAAGATTTCTTGGAGTCAGCTTGGAGCCTGTCTTTCTCAATATCAGGTATCTTATCTGTCACCAAATCCAATTAAATCTGTCTTCAGGTACTTCACACCCTATCCACTGTCACCACCTTTGCTGGACACATTTCTCACCTGGGTTGGTGTGGTTTCCCCGCTCTCCCCATGTCAAACCTAGGTATGCTACTGTGTCTCTTCAACACAGCAGCCAGTGTTGCTTTTCATACTAAAGTCAGATCGGATAAATTCTTGGTTCTAATCTCAATGACAAATCCCCTTTCTGTCTGAGAAAAAGCCACTGGTCCTATATGATCTGATTCTGTTCTGCCTATTCTCTTACCCGTGGATCATTTTTCTCACCAGTGTTCCTAAAAATAAGCAGTCACTTTCTTGCTTTGAGGTTCTTACACCTAGCTCTTCCTACTGCAATGCTCTGCTCCTAAGAAGGAGCTTCTCGAAGCATGGTGACTAAGCCAGAAGCATAGGCATCACCTGAGAGTTAGGAGAAATGAAAATTCTCAGGCCCTGCCTAGACCTGCTTTGGCAGAGCTGCAAAGACAGCATCCAGCAGTTGGTGGAGTTGATTTGGACTTTGTGGTGCTGGCAATTAAACTCAGGACGTTGCACATACGAAGCAAGTGCTCTACCACTAAGCCACATCCAAGACTCAGCAATCACACTGTGGCTGGAGATTTAGCTCAGCAGCAAGCGCCTGCCTTGCAAGTGCGCAGTTGTGAGTTCCATCCCCAGTACCCAAGAGGGTGGGTGGAATCACACTGTAAGAAGCCCTACAGGTGTCGCTGTTGCACACTGGAATTGAGAAGTTCAGCTCTAGATATTTCCACAACAGCCCCTCCCTTCCGTCTGTCCTTCCTCAGATGTCACTTTCTGGGAGGCCTGGAATCACCACCCTGGCCAGATTGCACCCATCACTCCTTTCCACCCATTCCTGTACCCTGCTTTCCTTATTCTAGGTTTCATCACCCACACAATCTTCAAAAATACTACAAAGCTTACTTTTCTATCATGTTATTGTCTGACTCACTAGATTATAAATTCTGTGAAAGTAGCTGTTTTTATGTCTCATTCGGTGATAATACTTCAGTGTCTCAAATAGACTCTGATGCAATACAGATACTCAGTGACTACAGAATTGAAAACGGATAAGATAAGCTTAACTATTATGACCATTGAAGACAATCATACAAGCAAGCCCCGGCAGCAGGCCGACAGGCTTCTGATAGTTGGGGTTTGTGAGCCAGGTGCATAACTAACAGGGGTCACTTCCTCTCCTTGAAGGGACATGCAAGAGAAATGCATATATGTACTAACACAAGAGCAGGAAACACTTGATGGGATGCAGGAACTTGCTTTCAGCGGAGGTTGCAGAGTGGGTCAAGCTACTGCACTGGTGGAAGGGGGAAAGTGCCACCGTGATGGTTCCACCTCTGCCTAGGAAACAGCGAGAGCTCCTGGACAGAACTCAAGGCTGGAGCAGCTGCTCTGTGCTTCCTACGCCAACCTCGAGTTTGCTGCAGATGAGAGACCTGAAGTGGCCTTTGCCTTTCTACATGAGTCTGAAAAGTGTCCCAAAGAAAAGCAGTTTATGAAGGGGAAAAGATAACGTGCTAAGTGCTAGTGTGTAACATGCACCACCCACGGCCCAAAGCTAAAGTCTGTGTCCTGTTACTATCAAAATAAGACAGCACTGCAAGTATACATGCAACAGAACACAGAAACCTCTGCACTGCTGCTTCTGCTACAGATTAATACATCCACATTCTTCAGAATACTGAAGAAGTGCAAATTAAATGATTCCTTATTCCTAGGAATAATGCCAAGAAAAATGAGTAAATAAATAAATCAATTTGCTGTCACTTTTACAATTTCAACACAGTGTGTTTCTTTGTGAACATTTAATGTTGGTTCTTTTGCTGCCTTTTAAATGGTCTAGCACTTGTCTCATAAAATAGGCTAATGTAAGTAAGACCACATCAGTGGAGGACTGGAAGAAAAGAACCTTTTGAATTTCTAGCATATAAATGGTGAGTACACTAATATCAGTGTCTTAGAATCTTGATGCTTATTGTATTTGCTTGGAGCAAGCAAGGAAAAAGTAAGTTCTAGGCTGCGGCTATGATTTGAAGTCCCAGAGAGAGCTCCTGAGAATAGTTTCTGCTTTTGTAACAATAGATTTTCTGATGAAGTACACTCTTCCTTAATGAACAGGATCTAGCACTGCATCAGATGCTAGAATCTGACCAATGTTAGGAGCATCAGTTTGACTGTGAGTCGTTTAATAAAGGAAACAAGATATCAGCTGTGCTTTGGCAGGACATAGCCCGAACCATCACGAGAGCTGTCATCTTGGCTCACAGATATGATCCCTACCATGGTACAACTGTGCGAGTTCCCACCAACATCACTGACAAAGCTGGCAAGGAGGCAAAGACATAATCCAAAAGCAGTCGTGTTAGATTCTGCTTCGTTGGAGTCATTTGAAAAGGAAACCAACTTGCCTGTCCGCCCAGTCCCCGCACCCAAATACTATGGCCTAGAGATGAAGCTCAGCAAAGCTATTCAACACATTCATTTCTGAGCAAGCAGAAAACACAAGAAAACAGCAATTACTGAAAGGAAAAGGCAAACCTTTCAAGGCAACGACACAATCAAATGTGCTAAAGCTGACGTAGGGACATTGCTAAAAGTAGACTTCAAATCATTCAGGTGGTTTGTGAAATATTTTAACAGGAATGAGAGGTCACAGTTCAGAGGTAAATGTATTAAAATTTTACTCCATTGAGAATATTGAAGTTTACATATTTGTTAATAAACACAAGTCTACGTTACCCTCATAAACGCTTGATGTGTCCTACAGTTGACTCTTCTGTTCCATACTTGGATGCTGCCTGTGATCACATCAGAAGTGCCATTAGAGGAAAAGTAAAACCTTGATGGAGACTCTGTCTTTCTGTTCACATCCAAACTCATGTTGTAAAACAAAACTGCAAAGTATGGAGACATTGCAATTAATTGTAAGTCACCCTCCAAATGCATTTATTGAGTTGATAATAATTATGTAAAACACTATAAAAACCTAATGCCTGCTTGCTGCTAAGTTTTGGAAAAATTAAATTAAAAAAATTTGAGAAGAGCTCAAAATATAAATTTTAAAAATTATTTTTAAAAAGGATTTATGAAATTCCTAGGTTTCTATTATTAACAATATTCACAGCATTAACTATCATTAATTCTATGTATAAAAGCTTTAAAACCTGCAATATCAAAATTTGTATTATCAATGAAAGCTTTAAATAAGGGTTCAGATTACTTTGGAATTTTTGTCTGAGTAAGGAAATATACAGGTAGAGTTTTGTGTTCAAATCTCACTTGGAATAAGTCTATTTTGTGTTACATGACAAATTTCATATATGGTTAGGTTCATTTACCTGTTTGTTTCCGAAGGATTGCTATTTCTCTTTTAATATTTTATATATAAAGTGAACATATGGTTCATAAATCACATCTATATAGTTTACTGAATCTACTTTACTAAATAAATCCATATATATTTTACTAAATCTAATAATCTGCTGACTGATACTCCTTATATAGAAGCTATAATTCATAAATGATATTTTAAAAATCTTATATAATTCCTGGAATATGCTTTAGGAATAACATTCTTCTGAAAAGATTTTGCCTATTTCAAGGAAACATAACCATTAAACCTGTATTACTCTTACAAATTTCAATAAATCTTTCAATCATTCTTTCATTTAGGAAATAGTAAAGTCAGTTGGCTCTGAAATTGTAACCAACATTTGGTACGAGAGAGAGAGAGAGACAGAGACACAGATGTAGACAGACAGAAGTGCAGAGACAGACAGAAACAAAGACTGTAATTGCAATGGCCAGTACCAATTCATCTTCCTAACTCAGTTCAAAGAGTAAATGAAAAGAGGATGAATAAAAACTGACTCCTGGTAAGAAGCAAAATATTGTGACTTTAGTAAATATGCTTACCATGAGAAATATTTTCCCCAAGGAGTCATTTTATAATAATTGCAAAGCATGGTTCTAAATCAATGGTGGTGATTATTTATGAGTTTCACATTTCTTTTCAACCATTTTAAAAAAATACCTGGTACAATGGAATTGGCAGTTTTGAGGAACACTGATTGTACATGAAGAAAACATCTCTCTCATCCAGTGTGCATCTTTCAGATAATCCATCAGTTTGTCAGTGTTAATTTGGAATCACTCTTGGGTCATGGTCCCCAGGGGGCCTGTTCTCCAGCCAGTAGCCAGAGAATGGCTCGGCCCACCTTTTATGACCGCAGTTCTGATAGGGATTTTACAGATCACTTTTAAGAATTAGTTCTATAAAGTAGAGATACTAGGCTTACTCTGTACATAGCATTAGGAGCTAATTCAGATGGAGACATCTATTACATATCCACTATTTGGTTCAATAAATATTTGCCACCCTTCATGATGTTAGATGATATCAGCCTGCAAGGTCATGAGTACAATCAACGTAGGTCTTGTGGGGGTCAAGAATTTCATGAATTATTAATATCCTAATAATGAAGCCAGGTATGCGGTCTCCAACCATGGGCTGGTTTCATTAGTAGTTATTCTAATGCTACCTTAAATATAACAGTGTTAGGAACAATAATCTGCTGGCAAAAAAGGTAATATTTTAAAAACTCCCAGAACTATAATTTGGTATTAACTAGAATTTTGGACTGGCCGTACTATGCTGCCTTCTCCAGACTAAGAGCTGCCTGCCTATTTGCAGAGAAATGGGCATGATTCTCATGAGCTCTTGCTGGCAGTAAGTTCCTAGATCCATTTATATATATGTATATGACATATCTTAAGGGATTATATATAATTTTTATAAATATATACAAAATTATGTATAAAAATATATATATATTAAAAATTGAAATTGAGGTCTACAGTCTAGTCTTCTTTAATGGTCAAATAGGGTAAAAGGATAGAATAGAGTTGAAAAATCTTGCCCTTCTCATGTCTTCCAGCTTATATCAGCCCCAGGTAGCAAAAAGCTCAGTAATGCTAGAGACATAGCTCGATGATAAAACACTAGCCTAGCACCAATGAGGCCCTGAATTTGAGCCTCAGGACTGAAAAAACATGAATCCTAAAATTGTAAAAATGAACAGCTTGGTAAAGAAGAGGACCTATAGCATCACTCTTTCTAAGGTTTTCACAGATTTAAGAGGGCAAGTGATAGTCTTGTTGTGCTTCCTGCTATAACCCCTAAGCAACTACAGCCTCCCAGTGAGCCCCACCCACTGGTTAGAACAACTTGAAAACCCAGAAACTTGACAGAAAGATGTTTGTAAGTGTGGTTCTCTTCTGCTCTAAGGAGACTTCCATGATGGCAAACAGTAACACCCCTAAAGATGACCATGAGGTGACTGAGTGAATCACACCCTTGGCCAGGCATTAACTGCACAGGGCACACTTACCAATATAACCCGGGACCTCTTTGCCTTTATATGAGAAACAAAGTGTTAGATCCATGCACACAGAGGGCAATCCATTCTCCACACAGTCAAATTTTGTTCTGTTTACTGACTCAGGGTTGCTTAAAGATGCTTCAACAATTACTACTGGTCTTGTCCTGAGAAGGAAATAAAATTAGCCTTAATAATTGCAGTATTATTTCTCCTCAAGAAGATAATTGCATTTGTTCCATGGACCAAGTAGTATCATTAATTTGCCTTATTAGTAATATATTCATACATACTCGATTACATTTCCATGCACAGATTAAGAGACACTTTCATCTAAATGTCTGAAAACATTGACTATCTGATGATTTAATTATATCTATACAAGATGCTAAAAACAACCTAAAGTTCAATAGTGAAGATTCAGAAAGATAATCCTCAAAAAGAGTATCAAGAGGACACTACCACTGCTGCTTTTAGAAATGGCCTCCTCCATCATTTACACTTAAGTCTGTTTGTCATGAATCAGTGAAATGTATCAGGCTTACCTGAGCAACACAGCAGAGTCAGATCGAAAAGCACCGACTGCTATATCTGGATGGTACAAAACAACTCAGATTAATGGTGATCATTAGTCAAAGAGAACAACTTTCCAGGCATAAATGCTAAAACTGCGTATCAAAATGGTATATTATATCAAAATGGTATTTACTGAAAATTTATTAGAAAAGACATGCTAGCATCTGAAGATCCAGTCCACATTTGTCTGAATCTATTCATTGACAAGAGCACTCATCCCCTTCATAATTTTGCATAAATAAACTTCATCATACAAACGTACGCATTAATAATAGGCCTGCTTAAAAAAATTTTGTTTTATGAGCTGGAAATATTAACCCAGGAATTCCTTTGAAACTAAACATTTTCTTCTTTCTTTTCATGATGATATGTCTGATTGATTTTCATGGATGTTTTCAGTTTTTTCAAGAGCAGGGAACCTAAGATTAAGTAACAATGTCAAGCTGAGGAATTACTCAATCATTTCTGACCTGTCATTAAATTCAAGAAAGCTTTTAAAATGCAAGGGAAAAAAGTCACCAGTAAATTGAGGTCATCCATACCAATTTTATGTGTTCACTATAAAAAAGCATTCACAACAGAGTTTATTCCAACTTATGAAATGTGGTAAGTTTTATACTTACCTATATATCCATTATTATCTGCATCAATTTGTCCTGATATAGATTGTCCAAACATACTTAATGATTCACTGATCTGAAGTCCTCCAATTCTCTGAAAAATAGGTAAATTGAGCGGGAAGCAATTTGTGAGCATCCAATATCCCAGAGAAGCAATGGTTTTGAATACAATGGCCCTTCCCCTGCCCTGCCCTGGCATATTTACTGAAAAAAATTATTTCCTGCTTGAAATGGGCAGTTACATTTATTTTGTGACTTAAATTTTTTTTTCCTTGTGAACAAAGAGAAGATTATGTAGTACAGATTTTCCCAAGGAGTTCTTTCAGAATCTGTACTTAGCTCTTTAACCAGCAAAAATAACTATAATCACTCAGAGGAGCCTACTACTCAGATTCCTGGAAGCTGTCTACTGAGCCTGGCTTGTCCCCTGCGTGACAGAACAGCCTGTGTCAGCTCTCCGCCTCCTGTCTCATGCCTAATTTCATGCTCAGATACTGATTTGGACGGCCCACTTATGTCATCCATATGAAGAAAAAAAATTAGTATTTTTTAACCAGATAAGTACACAATTTTCCTGTTAAAAATATAGAATAACTTGTCCATTTTTGTCTAATCGAAAATAACCATAGTAATGTTTCTATTAAAAAATCTCTTTGGAAAAAATCTTCTCTGCATGTGAATGTAGCCTTTTCTGTGCATGGAAATGCTTTGATTTTTCGAGCTATAAAAGTGAAGGCAACATTTCATCAGGAACCTTTAATAAAATGCTATCCTCTTACGTCTCCACACTGGAAGAAACACGGCATCATGTGCATGTTTTTGATCGCCCCGCACAGTCTTTATAAAATACAACGCTGAAGCCAAAAGCAAGACACAAATAATCCAATCCACAAGGGCCTATTTGAAACAGTATAGAAACTGGGTCGAGAGCACAAATCTGATGAAATAGAGAAAAATCTTTAATAGGCTAAAATTGAGATAAGATGGATGCAAAACTCTTATGAAAAATGTTTTCAAGTTATCAATCCCTTAAAGTAAGACCATTTGCCAGTCTCATAAAAACATGGTGAAATAAATGTTACGTGTTTGAAAGAACAGTAATGCACATAAACACGGGAAACACGAGGGTGCCTAAACACCAGGGCTTCTTTTGGCCAGTGCGTGCTGGGACATCCTACCTGGGAGAAGCTTGATGAGATGCCATCTACTCGGCCATTGTAAATGTAAATGGCGCCTCGCAAGTCATCTTCTTGGGGAGCTCCAATAGCAACATCTATTTGAGGATTCAGAGAGTGAAAAAATAAATTCTTGATATAAGGAATGAACTTTGAAACCTAACCTTCATGATCCTTAATTCACATAAGAAAGTTCCCTTATAAAGAGATACACTCTTCTCAGAAAGACAAAAAAAGTACTACCATCTTCAAGATACAAGATTGCAGAATAGTCTGTGCGTAGCGGGAGGTTAAAGGACCACCAGCCAGTTCCTGGAGTCTACCCCCAGCTCTGCACTGTGCCCAGCTGTGTGCGAAGGGCCCATTTCTTAGCCTCACCTATACAATGGGGTCATAGTAAAGTCCTCGCTCAGGAAAAAGAACAAAATTTATATAAAGGGTTTGGAATAGTGTTGGGCTTGCAAGTTATTATCTATGAGTAGTATAGCTGCTCAAATCTTGAATTTGCAAAGTTATGTATAAATTAATTTATTCTCCAATGACAATGATTAAGGCATACATTAGGGATTTCAGTATATAAAAACACAGGCTATTAGAAAATGGATCTGTGCTATAAAACAGCAATGCAGCACCTTTATGAGTTTATTGAAATTCCTATCAGATAACACAAGAGAAAAAAGTAGATCAATTCATATAAGAAAACCCAAGACTAAGCAAAAATGGTTGCTTAAGTGCTATAAATACACAGAATTAGGGAGAAAAATATTCTACCCTGTCAAATAATTTCATTATTTTATCATGTATAGTGTCTACCTGAGCATATTAATTTCTATGTAATGTTTTTAATTATTTTGAGCACACATAGTTTGTTTTCATGATATTACTTATCATCTGTCAAATCTAAAACCCTCTAAACAACTGTAATGGCAATGTTTAACTGCTAGGGCAATGGAAATAACATAGTTCATATGTAACTATATTAATGCCATAAAAATTTTAAATGCAAGTGTTTCTATTTTAATCCAAAAAGAAATACCAGCTGCCAAGATTTACTTTGTTTAGATACACTAGGCTTAAGCCTCTTTTGACTTGTGTAAACCATTTTAAAATTTCATATAAAATCTCATAGGCGAATTTTTGTATACACATTATATTTATTAATTTGTTCACTCATGGGTAACTACTGAGCACCAACAATGGTCCAGGTAATTCAGGGCAGTCCTAGAAAAAGGAACTCAGTCTCTCAGGGAAGAGGCGCAAGGAGAGAACAACGCAGCATCCCCAAAGGAAGTCAGGAACATTAGGAAAGGCTTCTCAAAGAAGTGGACATGAGGTGAGAGTAGAGTGTCATAGCCAAGGAAAGAAAGGGAACCTGCAGTTTATTCAAGAGGCTCTGTGAAGGCTGGGGAGTCAGGGAGAAAGCATTAATCACGGCTACTGCCATGGATGAGCCGCAGCCAGATTAGTGCAGGTGATTACAGGAACACAGGAGGGGGACAGGAAAAAGGGAAGAGGAGGACGACAATGGGTCATGGTGCTGGCGAGACATCTTATGACCACTGAAGAGAAACCACTCAGCAATCTTACTAGTGCAGAGCTCACACTTCTACCACGTTCTAATCCCGAATGACTACAACTCTATAGTTTGATTCCTGACTACAATACATTTAAAAATAGCAACCCTGGGTGACACGAAATCCTTATAGTATTGGCTATCGCACCAGTGGTCTAAATTAAAGTATCTTGACATGATACAGATGGCCCAGTCGAGCGGAGAAACCCTTGCCTTTAATTTCAACACTTTGGGAGGCTGAAGCAAAGCAGACAGAAAATTTAAGCCTAGACTAGGCAGTTTAGTGCCTTTTGGGACCGTGTCTTGGGAAAAAAAAAAAAAAAGTCTGCAGATGTAGCTCAGTACAAGGGACCAGATACCAATTTCTACTGCAAATGGGCAGAGTAAGTGGGGACAGGAAAAGACAGATAAAATAAGACAAAAAATAAGTTGAGCCTTTTCAGTTACAATTTAAAAAAAAAAAAGAACCAAATTTCCTTCCATGCAGAAGGCATTTGGGCATATTCCACCTTTGACTAATATAGACCCACACCCCTTACTTCCTAGAATTACACCTGTATAATGTAGTAGCTGTCGTTATAGAAATTAGTACATTTGGCATATATAAATACAATAAGATACTTTTCCATTCCCCTGCAACTCAATTTCTCAATTTGGGACACAGATACAGAAGATGAGATGTTTGAAAATCATTGTTATTTTGCCTCTAAGCATCTTATTTATTTTATTATGTTGGTACAAATCACAGTGATTACTAATATAAGCATAATCACCACCTATTTCATGTAGACAATGCAGCCTAGGCGAGGAGCTTTGCACATATTTATGTGTATAACTCTCACAACTGCTTCAAATACAGTCAGAACTTGGAACTGATTTGAAAGTCATTTGAACTTGGTACCCAATGCATTTTGCTGAGAGAATCTTGTCCCAGTTCTTGTCATACAGTACTAAAAGTTCACAAGATAAAAGCTGTCAGTGTTGATTGCTTCATGACTTAACTTGTTACCTTTTCCAGCCAGAATAATGTGCTTAAAGTCTTCCTCATTTTGGATGCTTGTCAAAAGGGAACTAATTAACAATGAGTACAAAGTACCACTAATCAGTATTTTAACCCCCACTTTACAGATTAGAAAACTGAGGCGGCAAGTCAAGGCCAGGATGTGGGGCAGAAGTGTTTTAAACACTGCGGTCAGGCTCTAGAGCCTGTGTATTCCATCTCCATGATACAAAGTCATCCAGAACGTGGGTCAGCCCCAGTGTTTTCCATCTTAGCACCTGATCCAGGTATGTGTCAAAGCAGCATTCACTGTATGATGTGATGATCTGTCAATATTCATGTCAAGAGCACATAAAACATGGCACTTCACAGTTAGAGAACCTTAAAGCTATATGGTTCTGCTTTAGAAATTCACACGTAATCTAGAAGTCAGGAAATGAGACTGGGGTTCATGGAAAAAGAAAAGTTAAATGAGTGTGCAAGGGGGTGCGCTAACATAGTGTAACAGCCATTTTTAAAGGCACCTAATATAACAATTTTACTTATAATTAGTGATGCTTTCAAATCAATGAAACAAGGTGTATTGAATATCATCTCTTACTGAACAACAGTAAAAATCAATGCTCACAATGAGACAGTCAGATGAATACTAGAAAGAAAAAACACAGGGATCATCCTGGCTCCATTTTTAGTAGAAAGGCAAATACAAAATCCCAATTATATTCTCCTCCATGAACCATTTTAAAAGCGGAAATCAAGTATCAAATTAGATACTTTTAATTACCTTCAAAGCCATCACTGTCAATGTCACCAAGATTAACGATAGCTTCCCCAAACCTTGCAGCGTATTTGTCACTGCCAATGAGTGGCGTTTCCATTTCATTCATTACTGCTCCCTAGGAAGACAGGGAGAGGAAAGGTGTCATTATTACACTCCCTGACAACTTTACACATGATTTACTGCTGTAATTGGATATGGATTTTTTTCCTAATGCACCAAACAAGTTGGACAAACTACAGACTGAGCTTTAGTACACATGTCTCAGTTCAATTCGATAAATATTTATTGAGTATGTCAACACACATTATAGTATGATTAGAGCACGCAGAACATAAGAAATGTCAAAGTCATGATCCCTGGCTTTGAAAATCCAATAAGTCATTTTGATAATTCAATTTAACAAATCTTTATTGAGCTCTTACTAAAGACAGTGCACTATGTAAAGTGAAGCGGAAAAGGGGACTGGCAGTGTGTGCATCAAACACTCCTGCAGCCATGCCAGTGACTCACACGTAAAACTGCTCTGCAATTATATGAAACAAGGCGGAAGTCCGTAATGCAGACCAGCAAAGAGCTTCGATAATAACAGGAAAGATAATCTAGAAGAGATTTCATAAAGAACGTAGCACACAAGGTGGCTATTGAAAGGTGTAATTCTGTTTGGTTATTTTATTTTATTTTGTCTTTTTGAGGCAGGGTCTCGCTATGCAGTTCAGGCTGGCCTTGGGCTCACTTTGTAGCCCGGGCTGGCTTCGATCTTGCAAGGATCTTCTTACTTTAGCCTCCTGAATTCTGGGATTATAGGAGTGCACCACCATGCCTGGCCCCAAGAAAGATACAATTCTGATATACAGAAACAATTCCAAAGGAATAGTACATATAAAGGAATGAGACAAAAAGCCAAATTGTAATTTAATGGACTGTGAGTTGATGAGGGCAGAGAATTTGTCCATGTCTTGGTGTTCTGAGATGGAATTTCACCACGTAGCCCAGGTCAGCCTTGAGCACGCTGGGCAGCCCACGCCAGCTTCATGGTCCTCTCGCTCATCCTCCTGAGTGCTGGGATTCCAGGCATGTGCCACCACTGGGAAACTTAATGCTATGATCAGCAAGGAGCTATTAGAGGTTTCCTAGTGGAGGAGCAACGTGACAAGATGGCCTTTCAAACCTTATTCCAGCAGCAATGGAACTGGATTGGTCCCCTAGTATCTCAGTATTTGGAAGTCACTATGTTTAATAATGTTGCAATAATGAGCTGTTGTCATAACAGCTATCGGCCCCCTTCACAAACTCTGGTCATCTCAAGTCCTCCACCAGAAAAAAAAAATCACACAGAATTATAAAAACCTGTTTGCCATTTTCTAAACACACACAGTTTTCCCTGAGTGAAGTGTCCATCACCTCTATTTCTAACTGAAAAATTCCTCTTTGCATCTTGCTCAAATACTACTTCCTCTGGGAAACCAAAACAAATCACTGCTTCCACTTTTCACGTACTCTGCAAGCATCATTTGCCACATTGCATTCCAGTGCTCAGTCCCAGGCTTGGTGTTTTCACCACACCTTGAGGTGCTGGGAGGTCAAGATGAAACTATCCCCACTCCTTTCATAGTCCTTGATCCACCCCATACACTGTCATTCACTTTATTCTAAACTAATGAAGATGATGGAATCACCTCAGAGCTGCAGTCACTGACATTCAAGCAGCAGGGGACTGAACCCCAGGAGCAGGAGAGAGGACAGCCCGCTCCCGGGGAAATACCAAGGTAAAGTGAGAAGGGTTCAGGGCGGCAGACAGGTGCTGGCACAGGACTCCCCGGAGGAGAGTGAGGAGCAACGGTGATCACTCTTCAAGTATCCTCCAGGCCCAGGGAGCAGTCATCAAGCATTCTCTGGGGGCCCCTGAGAGCTATTTTAGTAGAATTAGGTGCAAGCCAGAGTCACTCAAGTATCATGCTTGCTTAAGTTCATTCAAAAATAATTTTGGAGCGTCTACTTGTCCAAGAATCTTCCCAGCTCTAAGGAAACAGCAATAAACAAGACAGATGACACCTTTCCATGTGGAGTCTACACTCCAGTAGGACAGATGATAGCAAACCAGGTAGATAAATCTATTATGCCACTTAGTGGTTGGTGCCTCCAGCTAACAAACAGAAGGGGAAATGGGAACCAAGATCACTAATCCCAGGACTTGAAAGCTGAAACCAGTGACTAAATTGACTGCAGTGTTCAACAGTGGTACCTCCTGGAAAAAGTGAGGGACGAACAGGGGTAGTTACTGGGCAGTGTCCTCCCTTGCTCTTTAAACCAAGGAGCTCTGCCTTTATTTTTCATACTGGGAAAGTTTAAGATTGCAACAGGAAAAAAAATGTTATGCTGCTTTATTTTAGACATGCATGCTGCTGTTTGTCGAAAAAGTTCAGTTGCAAACATAAAGAGAAATCTGCAGCACCAGGATGCAACAACTATAAAACTATCGATATGGAAATGTAGAAAGTCTACGCAAGGAAAATTATTGTCGAGTACTTCTACTAATGCGATTCAAAGGACCACTGTGTGGATGATGTTCTTTTACTCTTAAAATTAGGTTTAATTGCAGCCTAGGAAATCCCAATGCTTCCCTGAATTCCCTACTCTATATTTAGAACTCTGAGAATTCCTCGCTTTCTAAGACTAGAGTGTTCTCCCTTAAATTGTACAGTTGAGTCTGATGCTTAAACTTATTAAGTGTTCTGAAACCACTGATTAAATAAGATTACAAGCACTTTCTTAAGGCAGATTTTACTTTGTTGAATCCTAATTAAGAGACACTGCGCCATAAGAAATGAACCAGTTTTCTCTCAAGCCTGCTTTTATTTTCAAATCAAGAGAACAGGGCGAGGGCATCCCTTTAAGACCCTATGATTTCTTTATCTTGATTTAATGTCAAAATGGGAAGTTGTCAAGATAAAACCAGCACAATTCTTTAAATTAAATTGAGACTTCAGTTTCTACTCTAAAACATGGCTCATGATTTAAAACTGAACCACTGTCAGTAACTACCTATTTAAATAAACTAGGATATTCATTTTGAAATAAACTGTCAAATTCATTTTTAAAATACATTTTAAAAATGTAACATGCATATATTATTCATTAACATTTTATCTAAACATCTCTAATCAAAATATTTAATTCTTGATCTTCTAGTAACATTTTATAATTTATTAAATTATGTAAGGACTTCAACTTTAGAAACTTTTTTTAAAAAATCCTCATTTTGAAGGGTAGCTGTCATTCTTACAAATTAGAATTATGTCAAAATAAAACTAAAATAAATTTTAATTACTTGACTGAATACACACAAGCTGTGAATACAGAACACAAGTATTTCTGGAATACCCAAATGAAATAGCTGCCAGTTCATCATGATGCTCCATTTTCTTTTTTGAGTGCATCAATACATTATTAAAATTTTTACTTTTGTTAGTAAAATAAGCCTAAGCATCTGTAATTGCAGAATTCTGGAATGAGAACAGTTTCCATGCCCAGCATAGTTCCACGAATGGCTCATGGTTTGGGGTAGTGAGTCACACGTACCGTGCCAGAGTTGATGAACACGAACACTCTTCCCTCCTCCCTGATGGTGCTGTGCATGGGTGCTCCCACCAGCAGGTCTGAGAAACCATCTGCATTGAGGTCCACGGCACATACAGAAGCTCCAAAGTAGGAGCCCAGCTGTCCAAAGAAAACCGTATCTGGTTATTAAGCAGCAGGGTTGTTCACAGAAACCCGCTACTATACCAAAGGTAAAGACATATTACCTTTTTACCTTTCATTTCATGTATGATACTCAGTTCTTTTGCATCAATGCTGAATATATAGGCCTGTAATTGAGGAAAAAATTATAAGAGTTTATATTGCCATCGAAGTCTCTTATTAACAATATATTCATTTCTGTTTGCTCCAAATGTTAACTCTCACCTCAAGTAGCTGCTCAAATATAAAAATATTGAAATTTACTTAATATGTCAAATATTTAAAAAATATTTTGAGTAGTACAAAAAGATAGGGATTCATTTTCATATTAATATGCCTCATTTACAGAACAAACCTTTCAGGAATTATTTTATTGATACCACAGATGGCACAGAAAGTGTGGCTTGATCCACTGTTCAAGTCAAGGCACATAGAGATTGGCCAATATACACATAACAATTTAGCAAAAACAAGAACCAGAAATAACATTTTTCTCCTTCTCATCTTACAATAAAGCATGCTGCTACTCCAAATTTCTTTCAATAAATGTTATACAGTAAATCTATTCCCTGGACAGTTTTCATTTTATTTTTACAATTTACTTATAGGAAAGAAAACCCTTGCTTGACTTATATAATTTTCCATAAAATGTTTGCTGCTAAATTTCCTTTAAAACCACAAATGATTCACATATTACAATAATGCAATACAGAGCTTATTGTTCTAATCTTTCATTATTTTTGGCAGTTCTTTTGGTATTTATTACCTCCTGTGATTCACTGGAACCTTTTGGAAAACAATAAAGATTAAAATGTGGCTCTTACTTTCCCAATTTGTTCATGCTGAGGGGCTCCTCCAACCACTTCTGTAGTATGCTGACCCCGAAAATGACCAGCTCCTACTGAGTACCCTTCAAGAAAGGGGAGAAAAGTGTGAGCATCATCATTTTATGTGGATAAAGCATATCCCAGTCTACTCAGAGAACTGAATGAGGCTGAATTCAAAATGACTAAGCAGAATTTTAAGCATGCTTAGCATAATGCTGAGAATTCTCCTTATGTTTAAAGCAATTTTGATAGATGTGTTACAAAAGCAATGTGGGATTTCCAACTCCCAGAAATTGAAAATGTTACCTTTAAATTTGGTTTGTATAGTAAGAGTAATCAGTTTCTAGAATTGCAACCAAAATACTTGAGTATATTAAACATTTTAAGCCTTAAATAAAATCTTCCCAATTTTCAGCTCTTGCACATGAAATCTTCCTATTGTCATGATCTCATGATGACACAAATGGTGAATTATTTTAATTTCATGTGTCAACAGGCATACTATCAACTTTTTTAAACAATACCCGAAGAACTGCTCCATTCATAAATAAGAAAATGTTGAATTTTAAATGAAGTTCTCCTTGAATGGAAAAAATACTGCCTTTTTACTATAAATACTTCCATATAAAACACTCATATTTGAAATACATACAGTTTAAGTAAATGTATGCTTTTTAAGGAAACATAGGAAAACTATTTAATAGTAATGGGAATTAATGGACCAAATTTTTGTATTTCTGTAGAATAATCAAGCATGAAATAATAATGAGGAGGAGGAAGAGAATAATGGTGATGAAAACAGTTAAACTCCAGAAAACAGTCAAAGGCAAAGATCAGTTAGCAGTTTTTGGACTCTGCTTCACAAAGTTCCCCTTTACCTAGAATGCTGTAACGATCCCATCAGTTTTCACTGGATCTTTTGAGAGACCACACCTACTCATGCATACATGGTTAATGAGTTAATATATGTAAAGCTCTTAGAAAAAGTTCCTGGAATACAGTAAGCACACAGGTGTGGCTAGAAATAATTAGTAATAAATTAACCTATAAAGATATGTACAAGTTTGTGTTCTCTCAAGTGAAATACAAGAAGAAGACTTTCCCAGGACCTCTAGTTGATTACAAAATGATTGCAGTCTTATAGGTCAATGTAAAATAAAACATTCACTAAAATTCCACACTTTTTATATTTTTCAATTGTTCTATATGTTAAATTTTTTCAATTCTTCTATATGTTCAATTGTTCTATATATTTTCAATTTTTTATATGTTCTCAATTGTTTCTTTACTTGCTATCCACTAGCCATGTACAACTGGTTTTTTGCCATGTATAACTTCTGAAACTACAATATTCTTTTTTTTTTTTAATAATAACTAGTAACTGGGCAGGAGATGTAGCTCAGCAGCATGGTGTATGCCTGGCAAGCAAGAGGCTGAGAGTTCAATTCCCAGTACCAAAAAAACAAACAAATAAATTAAAAGTAATTGGTAACCAAGGCACAGAGGATTTGAATTCTTCAATTTATACAATACCTAAATAGCTTCCAAATTTGACTTGATTCTGTTTGTCTAAGAAGGCTTTGTATTTGTTTGTAGTTATGTTGTAGACAAAAAGAGAACCAGTCCAATAAGATGATCCTGGAGCTCCCATCACAATTAAATCCTGTAAGGAAAAAGAAAAAAAAAATACTTAACCTCATTTAAAAGTAAACAGTGACATAAATAGGGAAGAGAACACACTTTGTAATACGTTGCTGAAATATGGACATTTTTTCTTAATTTAAAAACATATGACCAAAAACAAAACAAAACAAAACAGAAGTAGACTAATGAGTTCCCATCTGAAAACAGATTTCAGAGGAAAAATTCTAACACTCTGTCTCCAAATTTACTTCAAATTTAGTGGATTTGAAAAGTCATAGGTAGACTGACCAACCAGTGGGGTAGGCTTGTGCAAATAAGGCAACACGATTGCTCCTGAAGAAAATTATATGTGATTTCCCTAGTGCTCTTCACAAACATGATCATGTATTGCCGGAGAATGAGTGGACTCATTTCAGTTTGCAAAGACCATTGATTAGTTTCCTGAAAATTTCAAGACTAAAACATTTTTAAAAATCTAGTGGAATGTGGGGCCTGTTATAAACAGGAATTGAGGAAAAAGAAACAGAAGGTTGGAATGAGCAGGTCCTTGTCTTGTGAGCACAAAAACTTGTAGCAATCAAATTTATTATATTTCTGTACTTTCTAAATCTTGAACTTTCAGTGTAAATTTAAATACAAAGAAAGCATTGTTGTAAGTATTTTAAAAATATGACATTTTAGAAAAGTTATACACCTAGAAGTTGATGGAGTTGCAAAACATTCAGGAACTCATGGCAGATTTTTAAGAAAAATCAAAAGATTTGGGAGTTAAATAATTGTAACCTTTCATAGTATATCATTAGAGTTCTACAAAAAAATCAGTTTGGGGAATATATTTGATTTAAGATATTAACATATTCTTTAATATGCAACTTACTATAATTTAAAGAAAAATGTGGATTAACATTTATTTCCTTCTCTCCTTAACTAATGAAAATAATACACTTGAATAGGTTATTTTTATCTAAAATAACAAAAATTAAAAATAACTACTTTTGATTTCCATTAAAGTATTGATAAAACCAGTAAATTTTAGTATAAATTTTCAATGTAAATGTTCACTGATGAGTGATATAGCCAGAAAATATTAATTTTCTCAAATTATATGAGGAATATTGAGCAGTAAAAATAGAGCAATAATACTGGCAAATTCAAGAGACATTAATTATTCAGATTGCACACAATTTTTACTTCAGTGTGCCACTGGTCTTCTTAATCTTCAGATGAATTAGACATATATGTATATATATGTAAACATTCACAACAACTATATCTTAAACTACTACCTCTGTGAAGAAACTAGATATTCCAGCTTGACATGATGCAAAGTTTTCTCCAAATTTTCTTACATAATCTAAAATGCAATATAAAAATGAGTTGGGATTACACCTTTAGGTAAAAAACATAATGTTCCACAATTGTGTTTAGAAATCCTTACAAATATACCTTTTAAAGTCTACATTTAGTACTATCCCGTTTCAAAACAAAGTAACTTATATAATCTAAGATTATAAAACTCTCTCATGAATCTTCAAAATCACCATGAAATGGTCATAAAAACAATTCTCTCTGCCTCTTCATGAGAATACGCAGCTCACACTCAAAATATTTGTCAAATGAGGAAGATGGGGATGGGATTCGCAGTTGGACCACCATTTATTTTTCATTATATAAATTTAGGGTATACAGGGGCTGGAAATTTAGCTCAGCGGCATAAGTGCCTGCCTTGCAAGCAGGCAGTCGTGAGTTCAATCCCCCGGCACCGATTAAAAAAAGGAAAAAAACATTTAGGGTATACAACTTTATGTTCTTGCACAAGTACATGGTAAAATTATTCAAGCAAATCAACACACCCATCTCCTCATGGTGACTTGTGTGTATGGTAAAAGCCAGCCAAATCTGGTCTATGGTAAATCTGCAAGATACACGGTATATTAAACATGGTCCATGCTGTGCATTAGCTCTCTAGACTTATCCTATGTAACCGCAACTTTGTGCCCTTGGGCCAGCATCTCCTCATCCCCACTCCCTTCCTCACCAGCCAGCCGCCTTCCTACTGATACTATGTGTTTAACAATTTTTCATTCCAAAAAGACTATGTGCTATTTGTCTTTCCCTGGTTGACTTAGTGCACTTAACATAACATCCTCCAGACCCACCCATGGTCGCACGTCAGATTTTCTTCTGGCCAAATACTAGTGTGTGTGCTTGTATGCATATACAAGTGCATGCACACACGTATCATAATTCTTTTCTTTGTCAGTGATGTCACAATGAACTTAGTGCAGATAGAGCTATGTGGCACTGACTTTATTTACTTTGGCTCATTTGATCATTCTGTTTTTTTAGTATTTTTTTCTAATTTACATTCCCGCCAACAGTACAAAAATGTTCAAATTTCTTCACATTCTTTTCAGAGCTTATTACACATATCTTTTTGATAAACAACCACTTCAATAGGTGTGAGGGGACCCTCTGTGGTAAGATTCCCTAATGAGTAGTGACATTTTCTCAAGTAACTACTGACAATTTTGATATTTCCTTTGAAAAGAAAGCTATTCTGTTCTTTTTTGTCAACTTGAGCGCCTTATATATTTCAGATGTTTTAACCGTTTTGTCAATTACATATTTTTCACCGTTCTGTAGGTTTCCTTTTCACTCTGTTGTTTCCTTCACTGTGTAGACTGTGTTCCATTTGTTTATCTTTGCTTTTGTTGATTTGGTGTGATCAACAGAAAATCATTTTCCACACCAATATCAAGAAATTTTTTCTCTATGGTTGCCTCTAGAGTTTATGGCTTCGGGTCTTATATTTTCTAATTCTATTTAGAGCAGGTATTTATCCATAGTGTAACAAGTGTTTTTTAAATGGTATTCAGTTATTTTGCATGTGGTATCCAATTTTTTCAACATCATTTATCAGAGAAATTATCTTCCCAAGATTTTCCCCGGCTGAAAATAACAATCAAAATCCAAGACACAGGGACTCTTATTAATAAGCCCTAATGCAGGCTTTCAGGGGTAGAAGGACACAGCTTTGCTTCTTTTGAAGAACTGACATATGAAAATCATGATCACGTTTTTTGGGCTTTGAGAACCAGAAAATTTAAGAAAATTGTTATTTGATTTATATTATTTCCCTGCCCTCATTTTCCACTTATACCTGATCCTGTATTTTACAATTTTGGATATGTTAGCTTTATGCCATTTTGAATTTTTTTAAGCAAAAAAAATTATTCTGTGAAAATATTTAAAATTATGAACCAATGACTTCTCAGCAAGAGGTTTAAAAATGTACAGAAACTTAGACTATTTTACTGCAATTGATAATTTAATATTTACCTTTCCTACATTTACATCTAAAGATAAAATAGAAATATTTATGATACAAGCTTCTGGGGACATCAGCAAAGATATCAATATTATTAGAGTCAGTAACTGAACTGAAATATTTGGCCAAATTTTTGCAGGTTAACAAAAATTTTCTGTGGTTGCTGGGGTCTTATTTCTGTATTTTGTTTATAAAATTTGCATTCATGTTTTCCTTAGACTCCTAAAGACACAGAGAGTTTTAGTCTGGTTGCAGGTATTATTTTAAACACTCGGAGACATTCACCATAAATTTGGTCTTCTGTGTTAACATCCACTTCTGCACATAATGCATAGCACAGAATTTCCACGGGTAAGATCTTTTACATTTTAGGTCCAGTCTCTCACTACTTAAAGAAACACACATGAATTATAATAAAAGAGATACAGTGGGAGAGATCTGCTTACATTTATACTTGAAATATCTGCATTACTCCTAGAACCTGGAGTTAAACCAAGAAACCTAACCTTTCTGCCTCCAATCAAACTTTTCAATGTAATTTGGATTTTAAGTGTCCTATATTTATTTGGTATTAGACTCACTTATACTGAAAACAGTAAATTAACTGAAGAAGTGGATAATTACCAACCGCCTTCCATAATTATTCAAATGAAACTGTAGAATTTCTATCCCCAAAGCACAAACTACTTATGATAACTAATGCTACCTGAAATTGGATAAAGAAATACTTGGTTAAAAACAAAAAACAAAAAGCTACTTTGAAGGTTTCTGTCTTCCTCTCTAATCATCCAACACTGAAAATTTCAAACAACCTGAAAGGCATTCACTTCCTTCTCTTGATGTAATTGATATCAAAATCAAACCTCACCTTGGTAACAGGGAGCCATTCTTTTACTGAGTTCCGTCCGTAAATCAGAAGGCATCCCATAGCAAACACCAGTAGGGAGCTTATTTTCATTCTTTATGTAAAATATATTTTTCCATCTGTGCCCACAAGTCTGAAAAATAAGAAGTAGACCAGATGATGCGAAAGTTCCACCTGGCGTATCTAACTTCAGAACTGTCCACTGGGTCAATGCCAATACCTACCACGATGGATCCATTTTCGCCTGGCTGTCGAGAAAGCGTAACTCCCAGCCACTGATTGTCCCTTTCTTCCAAACATGTCTTTCCGCAAGGTTCTCCAGTGGGGCTGCCTGCGGCATTTGAAAGTTTATCGTCAGTTTCCTTGAAGACAGTATTTTTTACAAGCCTAAAGGAATTACACCTGGGCAGTTATGACCCCTGTTTTTCCTTCAACTACTTCCTCTTCATCTTACACTCGGTGCACAGAGTGTGGGAAATACTCTGCACTGACATAGTTGGTGCACTGACATAGTTAGTTCCTCACACAACGTCACTTTCGTTTGTGAAATGGCCAAGTTGTAAAGAGCCGGCAGCAGATGCATGAGCAGACAGACAGGTAGGACAGAAAGCCCTGTGAAAACCCAACGGGGCTGTGCAAATACAACCACAGCTCTGAGGCTTAGAAAGCGGTTTGCACTTTGTGTTAACCATTTACCTAGCAATGTAAGCAGCAGCCCCAGAGCACTTTCCTCAGTGTTTCTTGTATGGTCCTCAGCCACTAAGGCAGAGTTTATTGGAGCTGGAAAGCAAGGTCAAGCATGCAGAAAGTGGAACGTACAATTAGCATACTAACAATGCACAGCGTTTAAAATGAACTGCCTTTACATTCAGTGGAATGTGACTAGTGTTTTCAAGCAGATAAAACGATCTGGGGAACCACATTGTTTTAGTAGTAAATGAAATCCTTCAATATGCACTTAGGTAAATGTAGGAATAGCTCCAAAGTCAAACATACATAAAATATTCATGAATAGCACAGTACTTTTATACTGTAAAGTGATCTTCAGTGATAATTTTCATCTGTTGACAGGACTACTTTATATCTGAAATTGTATTAAAATCCTGTATTAAAGTGATTTCAAATAAATTATTTGGGATAATAGGATGCCATATTGTAAGTCTATCTTTACAAATGTTTTCTCTATGTCATTAGGCACGTTGTCTCCTGTAACTGTGAACCCCCACCCCTGGCCAGTGTCCTGGGAAGATCTAGAATATCTAATCTACTAAGGTTAATAGTTTGGAAATGAAATTGTTGGCATCAAATCTCCTGGCCAGGAAAGATCTTAAGAAGTATGAGAAAGTATGTGTGTTTGTATACGCTGTCTGTCCTCCAAAACCATTCGGGAAGAACACAACCCTGCACACAGCTGAACTGAAGGAAGGTTTCCAAAGTGCTCCTCTGGAGTCTGAGCCAGTTGGTCCGGTGGAGTCTGACTGCCCAGGTGGCCCTTATGAGTAGGAATGCTGCCGTCACAACTGAGTGGGTGATGCTTTCTAATCAGACTTCCTGGAGAATCATCCACCCCCACTAATTAGTAATGGTTTCCAGGAGGGACAGATTGGAAGGAGGAAGATTAGCAGGCTCGGAGAAAGAATACTGCAGTTTCTAGCAGAGTCTGCTCTTGGACCAACAAGAGGGAGTTACTTGGGCCCAGACTTTGATAAAGGTGGCTGAGTGGATGCAGGTGTTTCTGTGAAAATTAGAGGCAAAAAAGGAATTCGAAGGGAAAAACAGAGTTAAGTAAGTCTAAACAAAGTTGAAGTTGCTTTTCACCAGAGTAAACTTTATCAATAAAATACTTTCTAAAATGTCATCGCTTTCTAAAAATTTTAGTCAGCTAATTTTACTCTCAGTTGCCACAGTTAAGCAAAGGTCACAAATAAATAACACTGATCTGTTAAATATGGTACATCTAACAGACACTGCATCCAGACTGCATCCAGAAACAAATTCATTCTTCTAGAGCTAATAGACCAAAAGCTGAAAACCAACCAACAGATTAGTACAGAACTATGAAATACCATGGAAGCTGCTTGATGAAAATAGCCAAAAAGTTCTTGCGTTCAAGAATAATGTTATTTTCCATTTTCTTCACTAAGCTGTTTCTTAAATTCAGAAATGAAGACCAGTGATGCTCTCATGGTGAGCTACTTGTTCTGGCTTCTCCCCAAAATGACTGTCTCCACCAGGTGACATTAGGATGTCACACACTTATTTTAGGATAGTAGTAATACCCTCCCCCTCCACTTCCCTCCACCTGCTTTCTCCCCATGCTGAGTCTCTCCTGGACCCCAGGAGAAACAGCCCCTACCCACCCAATGACAGGGTGAGCTCCCTGATCCTACAAACATCTGGGCACTTTATGTTCAGTGGAGCTCCTGCCCCTCCCTTCTCTTTCTCCTAATTCTAGGTTACAAACAGTGATTCTTAGGAACAGAGAAGAAACAGCCTTCCAAAAGCCACAGGAAAGCGATGTTTACCTCAGAACAAATGTACTACAAGCTTCCCTGGGATTTTAATGGTGGGGCCAACTCACCCGTGAGCAAAAGAGATTTCAGCAGAAAAATACAGGGTGGGTTTGCATGTGGAAAATACAGGGATGAGCTAAGGGCTACTGTACATGGTCTCACATTTGGGATTAAGTGCTTCTAAACAATAGAAGCTTTCTAATTTATACATAACATTTCTGACTCATGGTTATTTTTAAACATGTACTATACATTGTGCGGGGAGTCACTCAGACTGCTTCAAAGCTCAGGGAGTCTAAGGACACCTGAGGACATGACCCCACTTGTTTAGCACAAGTGGATGGCAGGATACACTTATGTAACCATGACTTGGCACAGATCAACACGCATGCGCTGGATAAGGCACTATGTAAGAATGTAAATATGAGAACAATCTGTGTAAGAATTGCACAATAAAGATGCAGGTGGTTCTTTTGCACTATTGGGCTCTGCTCTGCTCCACGCTGCCTGCTGTTGTTGCTGATGTCTTGCAAACGTGAGTTCTTTAACCTTGGGACCTCACACTCAAAAATCTCCCTTGGGTCCCCTGAGCGGGCCGACACATTAAAACGGAGATGATGCTCAGCACTGGCCATCAAGGGTCCTTAGACACATAGGATATGACCACTCAGAGGAAATTGTGGTGGAATTAATATCCTGTAGGAGGAAGCATTTCATTCTTGCTGGAGTGAGCAACATTTATTTGTTTACAAGTATGCTGGCCTATTTCCAAGGTTAGTGGCTGGAGGCCTCGTCGTCTGGCAGGCGCTCTCATTCGTCATCCCGTGCTCAAGACAAAGTCCGGAAGTGTGTGCTAAAGGGAAGGGTCTGGGGAGGCCACGCAATCCACAGCTTTGACAGGGATTTGACTATGCTTCTTCTGTGTCACTCATCTTAGTTTGTAACGTGTTTGCAGAACAATGAATGCAAAGAAAAAAGCAATCATGTTGTGAAACAATTATTCTTTCCCAAACACAAACTAATCCAAACCAGTGACCAAACGCATATACTCACATTAATTACTTTCTTCCTTTTCGCTTAATGTTTCTACCATACCAGTAGCCCCCGACCCCGCTGATGGTAATGAAATTCCAGCTCTGGTTACAAGACAGAATCAGTTCCAGGCAGGCCTTGTAAGTTCCCAGTCATGAGTTTTCTGAGTTTCAGAGACCATTTCCCCTTTTCTTGGGAGCACCTGCAGTCTTGCAGAAGAGGGCAGGAGGGTGCTCAGGGTTTCTCCCTTAGGATCGCCTGCTTCTGAGTCTCCTCCCCCCTCCACATGGCATTTAGCCTGGCCTGGACCTTAGGACCACCTAGGGAGAGCTTTTAGTAAATACCAGCACCTGGGCCCCACTCTCAGCAAGACAGCTCAGATGTGCAGGGTCAGGGTGGACACCCCAACATCAGAGTTTTCCAAAGCTCCCCAGGTGGCTGTACTTGGGCTTACAGCTGGGCTTGTAAGCAACAGCTAATGGCTATGCCTTTTCCTGTATGATTTTTAAAAGACATTCTATTTTTAAAATAATAATCATATCTCTACACCCCCCCCCCCCGAGCTTCAACTAGATATTGAAAGAGGACATGACACAGTAAGCAGATTTTCTTCCTGTGGAGATGCAGTGCTTCTAATTTGGTCAAAGGTGATTATTAGAAACGTCCCGAGAAAAGCTACTTCTCCTGCGTTTAATCCCTGACAGAATGCTATAGATAAACTCAGATTATCTTTACATTTTACCAAGATGTCATGCTGCAATGATTTATAGTCTGGTTTTCATTTTCAATGCATATATTACTAGTCTAAATGCTCAGTAAAGCAAGTCAGCTCTATAATTGAAAAACTACTTTACATGGCTTAACATCAGAAAGACCAGCAGAAATTAACATGTGATGGTTTTTCAGCCTTTTATAAACTAATTTCCTAGCACAAAGGAATACCTTTTCCCAGTAAACTCTAAACAAAACAAAGCCATGTAAAAACCACCCCTTATTCTAAAATTAAGTTCCTCCTTTGTCCTTGTTTTTCTCATTTGGGAAAACAAAACTATCTTTTTACATCTTTAGTTATTATTTTCAACTACTGATTTGCATGAGTATGTGTGAATGTACATGTAAGTGTAAGTCAACAGTATTTTTGTAAATGCATGTAAAGAATGTTAGTACAAACTCGATCAGATTCACTCTTTTTACTCCTTTCATTTTTTAAAAATTCACACCAGTGGTTTTATTTTCATTATTCCAAATGACAAAAATGTGACAAGGACTAAGGACGACTAAGTATCTTGCCTCGCTGTGGTGGAGGAGGACCAGCTTCTCTGTTGGTGGTAGCATTCCCACAGCTCAGAGGTGACTCACCACAGGCAGGAGCTCGATTTGCACTGGTTAGGGGAGGGAATTATGTAAAATATTATACCACTGCGTATGTCTACTACTAGAGAGCACTTTGCTAAACTGCTCATCAAACTCTCTGGGATGGAAAGACAGCCTCCGACAGAACTTGTCTCTCTTTATTTCTACACTTCCTTACTTCTCTTCCACAACAGCACTGCCTTACGTTTTCAAATAGTAACAGGGGGTCTGCAGGACACAGCATGTGTGAGGTTGAGGATCTTGACCAAGTGTGGGCTTTGAGTAGGATGGTTTAAGAGCAAGAATCAGCTGAGGCCCATGGACACTGCCCATCTGGGAGGGCTTCCCCCAGGGTGGCAGGAGCCAATGAGATCTGTGTGGATAAGGTTGACACAGGAAACATGCAAGGGGCCTCTGGTGTCCACATCATCGT